ATCATTGTAGCAATGAAAACTCATAAATATAGTATGAAAAACTAATACTACAATAAGACTTTGAAAGGAAGCATTTCTGATGTTAATTCCAAACACAGGAAGGTAATAGCATTTTTGCACTGGAATAGATTTTGAGTGTTTCATGCAACAAAATACCTCTATTAGAAGAGGTGAAGAATGGTAATTCTATTTCATGAGGGTTTCAAGATTTTAACTTTGTTTTGATGCTCTCTGGTCATAAGTAAGAAATCTCTCCAGTGAAAACTTTGTTGAAACTGACCTGTCTGTGAGAAACGATTTGGTTTTAAAACTGCATATATTGGTGACAATTCATTTAAGTGGAAATGTTCTGACCAGGTCTACTGCCTGCTCCACACTCTCACATTTATGGGGGTGACGGACAATGCAGTGGCTCTGCAGAGGCTGCTGTCGTTGCTATGCTGCTACCCAAAGCAAGGGTAGCTGGGATTGGGGCATAAAGGGGAGGCTTTACCACCTCTTTACTCCTCTGTCGGGGCATGCAAGACAGACCACAGTTGTATCCATAATTACTCAGGTCTTCAATATCTGAGCATCAACAGTATGAGCATCCAACAACACTGAAAAGATCTTTCCAAAGACTGAACTACCATCACTGGGAATATATACCCATCCCGAAATCTATCCAATCACAGTTGCATTTGCCTCAATATTTTTTCAATCTTAGGACACAGAAAAAGCTAAAAATGTTAAAGACAGTCATTGCTAACCAGTATTTCTGAACTACGGGCCTGATCCAAAGCCCATTGAAGTTACTGGAAAGAGTCCCATTGGCATCAATGAGCTTTGGATCAAGCCCTAAACAGACTACAGCAAGGATATTGTGGGACCTTCTATGTTAGTTCATGAGTGCTGTCTTGAAAACAACATCTAAATCTTTGACTTTTATAGTGAAGAGAAAACATCTCCTCAATGAACTGAAATGTTTAAGGCTGTGAAACTTTCTGATGTGGGAAGAAGGGGGGATGGCTGCAATAATAATTAGTTGCAAATGAAGATGTTCCAAGGCATTCAGCTACTCTGCCAACTGTGCTAGTTTTTAAAGTTGTCTTAATTTCCACATCCTATTGTAGTTTCGTATCAACCCAAGCCACCTGCTTTGCATAGCTTTGTTACCAACATTATAAAAAAAAATCCTCTTTTAGTGAACATTTGGCTTCCGGTGAAAGGGGGTGGTGGTGATGAAGTGCAGTGAGCAGCGCAGGCTAAAAGACCATTTTCATATTGAATTAAAAATTGCCTACAGGGTGAGTGACTTACTTCAGCTGGCAGGAAGAGAAGCAGCCAAATTGGGGACTGTTGAACTAGGGGGAAAGGGGTGAAACGGAGCCTAGCAAGGTCCACTCCTGTCCCCAGATGCCATGGGCCCAGAACTGTGCAGGGAAGACCCCCCCCGCCCC